TTTTTTAGATAATGAAAAAATTCTTAGAATACATATTCAAACCTAATATAGCTTATATATTATAATAAGTTACACTATAGAGTGCTGCTAATTTATACATTGTTTTATATAAAACATTACATAAAATATATAATAATCATTATTCATAGTACCTATAGTAAGACTTAACGTAAAAAAAATAATACATTACTCACTTGTGTTTTGTTTTGGATACTAGTCTGCTTTAATTCACCTTGATCATGTCATGGTCCCATTGGAATTAAAATTTAAGTACCTAACTCACTAGAAGTTTTGGGTAATCTAGAGGTTTACTGTCTTTTTAATTCTAAAAACAATACTTAGGATTGTAAACATAAATTAACCCTTTTTTTTTGATACATACTTTGCGAATATTCCAAAATCTAATTACTAACGTATTATTTTGCTTTGCAACTAATGACGATTCATAAATTATTTATTAGCTATACGATACCTAACTCTACACAAATTACATAATATTTTCTTTTGACGTAATTTTTATTGGTGTATTTACATAATTCATTCATTTTTTTGTAAATATTGTAGTTAAATAAAATATCAGAAAAATATTTAATGAAGGGAATCTGTAAACTGTGTGATGAGGTAGGTAGCTGTAGAGTGTAGTGGTTTATTCTTTTCACTCGTATATATATGAAAATTAAATACAGAATATTTATTATTTACTCGATATTTCGATTAACCTAACGAATTCGATTAAAGTCGCACATAGTATATTCGTAGGCACAGTAAAGATAGTAACCAATGTAGATGTTGATGTGTAAATTATGAGACAATGCTGTTTTGATGTTATTTTTGATTAGCTCTTATAAATGGTTTTAGAAACAGTATTCAATTTTGATGTGTATCGAATGTACAAAGCGTTTAGTTTTTAAGCGATAGTCTTTAAGCGTGTGTATTTTAGAAAAGGATTCGGGCGTGTACAATAATTGTATTGTTTGGTAAAATCTTGGCACGATTAGTACGACTATACATCCATTGCTGATATCCTTGAATTAGTTGAGGAAGCTTAGAGCTTGAATTCTTATATACGTTATTATATGGTAAAATGTCTGCAACTTAATTTTCATCGTTAATAAATGTTTGAGTTCTATGAAAGCAAATCAGATCCCATGTACCATTCTTTATTCCAATTTATATAGTTATCAAATGAACAAATGGAGTGTTTTATGTTTAGTAGTAGTGTAAATCTCTATATTTGTATTTTTGTAAAATAATATTAGTATTTAATTGTCTATATTATTTTATGTGTGAAAATAATTAATTTGTAAATAAATTGTAAAAAATGTATAAAAAGGGTGATAATTATTTAAATACAATAGATAAAATCAATAAATTATTTTAAACAGAACGTTCGTACGTAAATGTGTGTGGAATGTGCATTATGCGTTATTCTAGAATATGTACTATAACTATATTGTAAATATCTATAGCGTATATTTATAAAACATAAAATATGTATGTAATTATTATTTATTACAAATTCCTCGCTAGTTTGATTTTTTACTGCGATTTTAGGGTGAATTTAATTAACATTATATTTAACATATATAACATTTAATAAATTACATCGGTTTACATGTTTGAAAAAAATGACAAGTGGTTTTATAATCATAGTTTTAAAAAAATATAATAAACAATTGTTATATATCATGAGTGTCTCATAAAAATACGTAATTGTGATTAGTGTTTGTAATCAATTATTTTTGCAGTATTTTTGAATTGAATCGTATGGGTTTTTTCTTTAAAGACGTATTGATCTTGTATTATTTTTATATAATTTTATGATACTGAAAGTTTGGTTATCGCATAATATATAGAAATTTTTTAAGTAAATAAAAAGGGAAAGAGTATTTACCATTTCATGGTAAGTATATATATGTTAATATATGATAAGATTGGTTGTTAAATTCCGTTATAATATTATAGCAGGTACAAATTAATGTAGTTAAATTATATTATTGTAATAATATAATTAATAGTTGGACTTAAAATATTATACTAAATTTCTTTAACAGTGTGGTTATGAGTTGGTATATAGCAATATTGAATACTAAATTTTGTTGAATGTACATAACTATATTGTGAATTATATTTTTAATAAACTTATAGTATGGTATTATAAACAATTGTATAATTTTATAGTCATCGTGATGAGAGTGAAACGTTTTTTTTTTTTAGTAGGTAATTATTTATTGTCATGTCAGCACATTTTTTTATTTCTTATATTTCTTTTATCTAACTTATCATGGAGAACTATCTTTGGTACTTGGTTGGTTTTATTAAAGTTTTTGTTAATATGTTAAGATTAGTTGTAGTTAATATCACTGTTGTTGCTTATTGGTGTTAGTGAAATTGTTATAAATTAATTTGATCACCCTCTTGATCCGTTTGATGAATTTGATAGACTTTATTTTCCTCCTAAGTTATTATGGTGTTATATACTCGTATATAAGTGTATAAATATATATTATTTGACCTGCAAAAAGTGTCTGGTAATTTTTCTGTTGATGGAAAAAATGAAATTATATGACTTTTGTTTTTTTTTTTTTTTTTTTGTATGACTGTTTGTTTCTGTGAAAATATAATAATAAGTATAAAATATAAAATCCATAAAAATATAAAATAACTATTTTGTTTTTGAAATATAAAGATTTTAATTAAACTGACTATGACTAAATAATGTTAGAAATCAAAAATCTATACTCTACGTTAAAATTTTATAAAACTGAGCTTATATATTGTAAGTTATTGTCTCTAATTCTCTAAAATCATTCTCTTATTTAAGTTTGTGAGGTAGGTATTTAAAAATTCAATAAATCTTAATTATTAATCTTGTCTGATGAATAATAAATTTATTCTGACATTTTTCAATGTTAACAAAATAAAATAATTTGGTTGAAATTCTGATTAAACCGAATTAATAAAAGTTTGTTTTTATTTTATTTATTTTCTTTGTTAATGGACCGATTTTGTTCGTTTAATTATCACCGGCGTGCATCATAACTAACCCAAAATAATTGGTATAAAATTAAATATATTTAGTACATTTATTTAAATTCACTCCAAGTTTACGCGAAATAAAAAAAACAAAATCATCTTTTACACCTGTAACAGATTGTAGTGATTGTACATTGTACATATTTCATTTTATCCACTTATTGTAATACAGTGTATCATTCAAAATGGAAATAATATACGACACCGTTTGGTTAAATTAATTAGTATTACACCGTAGTATATTATGTTACTGTACTGCAATAAAATAATCACACGTAAACAAACCGGAAGAAATGGTACGATTTTGTTTTCAAACACCTCATTTTCATTTCTTACAACACATTACGACATAGAACGAACTCTATACACTATGTGTTCTTTGTTTTAGGCTATCATACACAAATATAAAATATTGACCCGCGCAATGCCATGTTATATAAAATAGTTATGACAATGCCGTAATACCGATTCTCAGTGTGCAATAATACATTTAAACATTCTGTGATATTATTTTAAATGGCTAAAAAACAATAGGTATATCAATACAGTATTCTACACCACGCAGAATGTGTAATACGATCGAAATATGTGCCGAAAAACCGAATAATGTATACACCGCGGCTGCTATTTCGTTAATTTAAAATCGTTTTTTTTTTTTATTTATTTTCGTTTTACACTTGGTCAACATACCATTAACGTGAAGCAGTTATGTATTGATTGCGATTGTATATTCGCCAAAACTTCCCTTGGGGCTAAATTCGTTTAAGATAACAGACCTATATATTTTCGTTTAGTCGTGATAAATAATATTGCGTTCTTAGAAAAAAGTTTTATCGTCTTGAAAATGTTAGAAAAATATTCCGATTTTCTTTATAATTATTTTCATTTACTGAATACATATTTGTCATAATAATAATTTATCATATTATAATAACTAAACGATTATAAAATTATAAAGGGTTTATATAACATTTCCGATAAACAGAATCAGAAAAACATATCTGCTTAGACCTTCGTATTTTATACAATATTTTATCTGAAACGTACCCATATTTTTCAGTTTGTTTCAACATAATGTTATATTTATTAATAATAAATATTTTAAAAAGAAACTAATTTAACTAAATTCATAAATAGAAAAATTTAAAAATAGTGGTCTATTTTAATCTCTAAATAAACTGTTCACATTTGTGAACGTTTATTTATTGCAATGTATTAATAATTGCTTACTTGTACACTATTGTTACATATTTTTGTATTAAAAAAATAACACAAGAATAATTAGAAACACGATTTACTTCTAGATATTAATAAATAAAAATGAAATGCTTGTGAATGATATAATTATTATTAAATATAATGGCATAATATATTATATATATATATATATATTAAGGTTATTTGAATAACACTAAAAATATGCTATAATCAAGGCAGTCGATATCCTTATAATTGTATCGTCGATATTTTACGACTAACAAAATAAAAATGTTTTCCTTTGAACACATCAGTAGTAATTAAAAGTTCCAAAGACATAAAACTATAAATATTTTCACTAAATGTAAATAATCAACAACTTATGAATATATTAATTATGTAAAATTTACAGATAATAATTTAATAATATGTCATTCTAAACTTGATTTTTCTTAGATTTTTAATTAAAAAATGAATAAATTGTATAGATTAAATGAATCTATTAACTATAAATAAATCAATATACACCTTGTAGTAAATAAAACATTATGGACCCAACTAATAAGTCGATAATTTAGAAAATATCATAAAATAATATATTAATATTCAAAATATGGTATTATAGGGTTACATTGTTCTTATTGTGGATAAAAAAATAATAAGTACAGTAACTCGAGTATATAGGTACCGTTAATATACTCAATTTGAAATTAATTCATGTATGTAACAGCTGAATTATATTTTACTATAGATGAAAATTTTTTTAGGTCGCGACTATTGGTACGAAGAGGCTAGATCCGCGCTAAAAAAACGGTTGGCCAGCTACGAGGGTAAAATGGGAAGAGCGAAAAATGTGGTGTTTTTAGTCGGTGATGGAATGGGCGTGTCTACTTTGACCGCTTCAAGAATATTCAAGGGACAGAGACGGGGCAACCAAGGAGAAGAGGAGCAATTGATTTGGGATTCGTTTCCCGCTGTGGCAATGGCAAAGGTAGGGTGTTAGCCACATTATTTTAATAATATGATTAAAGTGTTCCATTTCTAGAACTTTTTTGGGTATATGTGTGTAAAAAAAATAAAAGTTAAAAAAATACTACCCAAATATTTTTTATTCATTCATTACTCATATCAATCCATGTTGTAGATAATATATGTAGAGTTAAAACAATAAAGTATAGTTTAAACTACTTACCAAATACATTACTTGTATTTTTGGAATTTAAAACATTTAAAACTCGAGAAAATCCTTAAAATCCTTCCTTCAAACTATAATTTGACACGTTCAGTAGATTATTAAATTTTCATGTACAAAAAAAATTAATCTCTTTATATTCATTTATTTATTTTATAATTTATCTCATTTATCATTTAGATTGCTTAATTTCAATAATATTATAATAATTGCATAAGTAATCAATTTATTAAACTTAAATTTAAAAAAAAAAAGAAGAATTTTCATAAATCTCATTCTTAAAGTTAAGTTCAAATTTCTGTAAAAATTTAACTACGAATAATTTATTGTTTCTCTTACATACGTATATATGCACATACGATAATTTTTATGTTTATATATATATAAAGATATATATATATATATGTGTGTGTATTAGAACAAATGATCAATTAAATAACAATATTTATAACTGTTAAATGTCGTTTTTGTGTAACATATTTTGTAAAAATAAAAACAAATAACCAAAATTTAATTTAAAAATAGATTGACTAAAATAAATCAAAGCTTATGATTCAAATTTCAAACCACTAATCATTGACAAAAATAAATATGTTGTTAATTTTATCAATAACCAATAAGTTAAATTATTTCTAATATTAAATTATATATTGTATAAAATGTGTACTATTTTTTTGATAAACTAATACGTTGGCATAATATATGATATTATTTAAAATGTATTTAAAAAAAAATCCATCTAAATTTTTTAAGATTTTAAAAATAGTCTAAATATTTTTAAATTTTCTTTGAATATACAGAATATTAATTCACATATAGCCAAAAATATTAAAATTCTAAGAAACATTTTATTTTTAATTACAATATCGTTTTAAGAAAAATAATTATTTATTGTTTAAACATCCATTTTTTTTCAAAATTTAGGTTAAAAATAAGTATAAATGAATAGTGGTCATGTATGTTTGTTCTTTTTAAGCTACATACTGTAAAAACTACATACATTAAATAAAAAAAGAGGTCGATAAAAAACTGAAAATTTCAATATTTTAAATCTATAAATGCTCAAATAGCGCCAGGTCATGCATAATATCGAAATATATAAAATGTTTGGTAAAAAATTTTAAAAAGTTAATCTTTTTAAATTTGACAAAAAATTATATTTTTTTTAAACCCGATTTTTTAAGTAGGGAATAATGTATTTTACTTAAGTATAAAATTAAAAATAGATTTATAACCATTATACTCAAATATAAATTTCAAATTAAAAACTAGCACATACATTATTTGTATATATCTATGTTTTATAATTAAGTAATTATATGAGTTTAGTACGTTAGAAAATCATGTTAAATTACAAAAATAATCTGCTTCTATTTACTTAGGTATTAAAAAATATACTTTTTAAAGAAAACACATTTTATGAAACAATATTATTATAATTAATCGTATATTATGATAACAACTTGACTTTTTCATTAACCAAAATTATTTTGGATTTGAAATATTAAGATATTACATTGTTCTATTTTTTTTTTTTTTTTTTTTTTATCAAATATAAATTGATTTTTTTCACTGAATTAATTTTCAATTGTTGTTTTAAAATTAATTAATTAAAAAAAAAAAAAAAAACTGCCTTAATATTGTATAGTTTTAGTTTTTCAGTATCAAAATCAATTAAAACGATTTAAATAAAAATAAATTGTATTCAAGTTTAAGTGTATATTCATGTTTTTTTTTTTATTCATTTAAACTTTGTTATATTATTAGTTTCAACATTTAGGTTATAGTATTAAAGGTACAAAAATAAAAAAAACAATAGTTATTATAATATTATATAGCAAGGTTAAATTATTTACCCTATATGGTTAAACAAGAACAATAAGATAGTATACATATTGCATTTAATATAATATACAGATATATAGTATAATATTCATTTGTTAAGATGAGAATAAATTTCGGATATCAAAGAAGATGTTGGAAAATGTATAAATTGACAATAAGTGAGTGCCCTTTAGAAATATGTTAAGGTAGTTTAAAAAGAGGTAAAATAGTTAAAATTAAATACTAGGGTTATTAGTGTTTCTTAATGAGAGCTGTATAATTTAGTTGTACATTTAATTAATATATTAAGATCATTATAGGGATTAATAACAAATACATTAGGTATATAATGTCTAATAAAATCTATAAAGCGACTAATTTAAGTATAGTAAAAAGTGATTTTTTTTAAAAAAAGTGGTCATTGTTAAATCTGATATTTTAGATATTTTATCAAACAAATATAATATAATATTTATTATTAATTTCAGTTAATTGAAAAATTCTTTGTGTAATAATAAAGATAATCAAATTTTTATTAATTCATAAAAAGTATATATAGCTAAATTAGATTTTCTAACTTTTAAAATAATTTATCTCTAGCGATGTAAACTTCTTTTTTTTAATATGCTGATGTTATCTTTGGTAATTTAAAGAAAACTTTACTGTATAATATATATATATATATATATTGAACAATAATCATTATAAAACTAATCAAAACTACAGTTTAGTTGTAATAACTTAAAGATAATTTTAAAAATTAAAAAGTTACAATTAAAAAATGATTGTTTATATATATATATATTATATATACATATTATATAGTTCTGTATCTATAAATTAAACAAAATTAAAACAAGATAATTTTATGTGTGATTCCTTGAGGCAGTAACATTTATTTAAATGTATTATATGAATTACATTTTTAAAAATTAAATCAAGATATCTTTGAAAAATTGAATGAATTATTCAAACTTTTTATAATAAATAGAAACAATTTGAAGACGATTTTTTCCATACAAACATTTAGGACATTGATTCTATGGTTTTTATTTAAATATTGTTTACTAAAAAATAAATAAAACCCTTTTAAAATATATTCTTAAACTTCTAAAATTCTAAATAATATTAATATATTATGATATATAAAAAAAATATACACATATAATATATTATATATTTAGTTGTTTTTGAAAATCAATGATAAAATATTACGTATTTACATATTTCTTCCAATTATACAAAAGTTTACACAACTACAGTTGGGTTGTTAGTATTTACATATGGTATTCAGTTTATTTCTGTAAATCCTTTCTCTTGTATTTATTAAAACATATAACTATGATTTAAACTTTTTTTTCACATTTCCCTATCACCAGTTTAGTTTTAAATTGGTTGCAAACATTTTTGAATTCGTAAAATATTTTAAACAAATAAACTATACATTTAATGATGAAAAAAATTTTTAATGATTATTTAAATTATTTTATTGTAAATATATGTAACAGAATTATGCGTTTTTAAATTAAAGAATGCTAGCAATAATTATGTAATTTAATGTCAACCTTTTAATTAACTTTAGAATGGTAAGCAAAATTTAAATTACATAGATATACAATATAATACAAGATGAATACCTAAAACACAATATACTTAAACCTCAAGTATATAATATATTTTTGTCCAATATGGTGTTCTACAACAGATCATATATTTATTTTTTTTTCATAAAAGGTAACAGAATAATGGTGTCATCTGTTTAAGATTTTAAGATGACGTCATAATAATACTCGTTTGATGTAAATATTAACGTACATATTTTATTTTTATGATCATTAGTTATTTTATTTTATTTGGATGTACTTATATTATAATTTAAAAAACAAATTATTTATTAACATTATTTTAAATTTAACTCTGAATAATGTATAAATTAAAATTTGTTATATCCTATGTCATTAAATGGAGTTGTAAAATAATTATTATTGTTATACCTTTAAAATATTTCAAATATGTTATAGAAAAAAACAATATTTATTTTAAAAACGCTTTTGTTAACTTTTTATTTTATTCCTTTTTCGAATTTACGTATATTTGAAACTATTTATAAATCACTGTGAAGTTATTTTTTCTAAAATTTTCGGGGTTGAATTAAAAATTGATTTTGTTTGTTAGTTTACTAATCTTAACCAATTATATTAAATAATTATTTTAACTAAAATAACCTTTTTAGATATAATATATAGTTATTTTTTCTTTTAAACTGCTGCTCCGTTAACAATTTCCTTCAGAACTTTTTTATGTGGCATTCAAATTATTAAAAATTTTCTATATAGAAAAGTAAATTCAAACTTAAGTTTAAATTTAAAGATAAATAATTATTTTAAAATTATTATAACGAGTTCTATAACTTAACATAATTATGATGAAGTTTAATAAAGCAATCCTAGTTGAGTTTCCAACATGTACATATGTTTACATCTGAATTTTTTTCAGATGACTTAACGTAAAGGAAGTAGAGTTCCATAAATATTTAATTGAATAAAATATGGTAATTTTATATGTGTATTTATCATGTCAATGGCCTAGTATAATCTAGTAAATTACTTATTTCAAACAAACATAATATACAACAAAATTCAAAAAGCATAAAACCTGAAATATATTTCTATAAAATACATGACGTTTAAATTCTATACCTTGAAAATATTCATCAAAGAATGGAACACGCATACTAGCGTCCCTTCAAGCTTTTATATGGTCCAAAAAAAAATGGTAAAAAAACAAAAATCAGATAAATTCGAAAATCGTATCTATATTTTATATTAAACTCAATTTGCATTAAAAATTATACCTTAGACGTATTTTCATCTTATTTTAATCTCCTTTCCCTACTTCTCCACTTCCATAGGCACCTACCTCGATAATACCATTACGTCATGGCTTGCTTGACGTATCAACAATTTCATGCGTTT